CTTCAGCCAACGCCTCTACCTCGTGGTCCTTGGGTAAAAGGCGCAGTGGATCTCGTTGGTCCAGTTGATGGAAAGTTCTCATTAACCTACATTGATTATTATTCGTCTTATCCGGAAGCGTACATCCTAAAAGAAATCACTTCACACGAAGTCATTAAGGCCCTAACTGATATTTTTCGCTAGATTTTGGTTTCCAGAGGAACTCGTTTCAGACAACGGAAAACGGTTTATCAGCGAAGAATTCGAAGCGTTTCTCAAATCGTGTGGAATAAGGCATATTCGTGTTTCTCCGTACTATGTGCGTAGTAAAGGAAAGTTGGAGAGATTTCACCGATACTTAAAGAAAACTTTTTGAGCGATGATCTCTGAAGGCAAGTCCTGGCAAAAGGAACTACCGAAAATTCTTATGACTTATTGCGCAAAGTCCACATCAAATTAGTGGAAAATCACCTAGTATGCTGTTGTTCAATCACGAAATTCGTACGAAGGTACCGCACATTGAGTCTAACTCAAATACAGCAGCTTAAGCGCGGGACACGTTCAATCTAGTCAACGTGGACACGGGTACCACCTTGGTTCGCAATGCAAAGTACTTAAAGCATGCGCCTAGTAAGAGCATAGATGATGATGGCGAAGTAGAAATTTCTACCAACTATAAGGACTCCAACAATTCTAGTAACTGTAGTGCTAAGGTTTCTGATGCTTGTGATGATGCTGAACTTTCTGGTCATGTTGACGAGCAAGCCTCTCAGAATGAACAGGTCATCACCACTAGGTCAGGACGAGTTGTAAAGTCAACTAAGGACTGTGATAATTTTGTATATTATTGATATTAGATTTTGCTGATTTTATATGATCTTGTGATTGGTTAAATGTATCTTTCGAATATTTTTAGAACCCGCCCGGCAAGGATGTAGTGTATTTATTACCATAGTAACGATTATGTACTATTACCAACATCAGTGAAACTACATGTACTAAGTGATATTAAAGTAATACAGCACGAATGTAAAAATAATGATACTAAGTGAAAGTAGATTATGATTTGTACTGTAAAGATAGTGGTTCAGCTAATAAAGGACATTATGTAGAAAGCAATGAAAGTGTGAGTATCTCTTTGTCTCATGACTACACCACAAAGGATTTTGCCTCTTGCAAAATTTTGTCATGCGTGTCGATGACACCTTTCTTATCCGATTGAAGTTGTTTGATCGTTTTTTTATTGAAGTGCCGTTTCTGCATATTTAAGAAATACTTAGTGTTTTTCTCTCCCTGATTATACCAACGAGCTTTTGATCTTAAAATAGCTCCACGAGTTTGATACTGGGCGATCTTTTCTAGCTGAAGGGTTTTGATGTCTAGTTCCTTGTAGATTTCGCTTTTGACAGCATCGGATGGATTTTCCTCTTTAAGTTTTTTTCGAAGGGAAGATATGTCCGATTCTAAAGTATTTGTCTTTGATTAATTTTAGCCTTTTTTTCTCTTGCATATTTTAGCGAGCTGGAGCCAATCTGCATCTTCATAGTGCCCCAGAGGAGGACAGCATCTACATCGTCATTGTTTCTGTACTCCTTTGCTTCTTCATCAATAGTTTTTTTAATTAACTCAATATACTCACTGTCCAACAGAAAAGTTGTATTGAGTTTCCAGAAACCCAGGCCTCTGGGGTTACTATTACTAGCAAGGTGGATTGTAATGAGGGAATGATTGGTCTTATACCCCGGTAAAATATCTGCATTTGTGATTGCTGTATTTAAGCTTGAACTTATAAGATAGTCGAGACGACAGTGCACTTCAGGTTTAGTTCTCTGCCAAGTGAAACGCTTAGCGTCTGGATTTAGGGTTCGCCACGCGTCTATCAGGTCTAGTGAGTTCACTATGTTCTGGACTTCTTTAAGAGAATTTCTATGCATTGTCACGTTTCCTCCTTTTTTATCCTTCTGAACATCCATGACCAGATTAAAGTCGCCTCCCACAATAACTTTTTCACATTCAAAAGAGAGGATTTGATAGGGAAGATTTTGAAAAAAGTAGGATTGTCATTGTTCGGTGCATAAATGTTAACTAAAGATAAAATCTTATCTATTTTCATGTCTATGATAATATATCTTCCTTCTTGATCAGAAAATTGCCTGATTTTTTTCATCTTAAGCCAACGGAAAGTTTCCCGCCTTTTTAGGGAGTTGGATAGGCCCCTCACATTCAAGGAACAAATAACTAGTTCATCATTTAAAGTGAAGTGATGATTATGAAGTGGAGACAAAAGGCAAAAAGGGTAGGGAGGACAAAAAGGCAGCAAAACAGTTAACACCTAACAAGAAAGATATACAAGTTAAACAAAAAAGAAATAATCTAAAATTTACGTTTGGTTTGGATGAGGTTCGATGCCAGCTAAGCGAAAACATCTAGGGGAAATTTAGTAGGGCTGGGGAGTTTGTTTGCATCCTGTACGTATAACTAATAAAGCGTTGAAAGATTGTTCAGCTAGAATTCGAATTAAGGGTGCTAGATTCCTTCAGATTATCCGGGATGTTATCTACGTTGTTTCTTGCGGGCCAGAAACATAGCCTTGATTAAAACTTTTCTCTCCATTTGAATACCTTTGGCATAGTCTTGAGTAACGTACACGTTTTCATACTATGAAGAGTTTCGTAGCCCTCCCTTCGCTTTTAGTACCATATCTCTGTCCTCTCTGCGC